TCCCCCTTCCCTCCCCCTCCCTTCCTTTTCCCTCCTCCTCCTCCTCCTTGGTCTCCTCCTTCTCCTCCTCCCCACCCTACCCCCGCCCCCTGCTTCCCTTACCCCTTCCCCTACCCCTTCTCCTTCTCCTTTTTAACTATTACCACCAAGGCTTATTTGTAAACTTCTGGAAGCACAAATGGTATACCCTTTTCCCTCCTCCTCCTTGTCCTCCTCCTTCTCCTCCTCCCCACCTTACCCCCGCACCCCGCTTCCCTTACCCCTTCCCCTACCCCTTCTCCTCCTTTTTAACTATTACCACCAAGGTTTATTTGTAAACTTCTGGAAGCACAAATGGTATACCTCTTGTAGGGTTTCTGATGCCTATTGCCTTATCGCCCTTTCAGAAGATTTGCAAGGAAGATGGATTTGGGAGACAAGGGCAGGGGTATGGGGGCCAGTAGAGGCTCCTGGGTTTCCAACTGGGCACCTGATGGTCTGACCCTGTTCCCTGTGCTTGCAGAACCATCGTGACTCGAGGCTGACCATCTTTGAGCAAGAGAACTTCCTGGGCAGGAAAGGAGAGCTGAGTGATGACTATCCTTCCCTCCAGGCCATGGGCTGGGATGGCAATGAAGTGGGCTCCTTCCATGTCCAATCGGGGGCGTAAGTGGATCCAAGGCTCTGCCTGGCAGGGAAAACAAGGTGTTGGGAGGGACAGACAGACACACCTTCTGTGATAACAAAGTGCTGGGGACTTTTGGGTTCTTATGCCCACATTCCAGAGGGGATGCTGAGGCACAGGGAGGTCTAAGGCAGAATTTCTGGGATTGTAAGAAATGGACACCCAGATCAAACTGATATAAAGCCCAAAGGATATTTACTGGCCCCTGTAATTAGCTTCAGGCACAGCTGGTTCCAGGTGCTTCAGCAGGGATCTGTCTTTCTCCACCTCTTGCTCTGCCTGCCTCAGTGTGGTTATATTCTTAGGCAAGCTCTTCCCATGTGAAGGCAAGATGGCAGCTTCATCCTTATGTTTCAGCCAGCTCCAGAGAAAGCGTGTCTCTTTCTTAGTAATTCCGCCAAAGGTTCCAGGAAAGGCTCTCATTGGTCCAGCTTGGGTCATGTGTTCAACTCTGAAGCAGTCAGCATGTTTTTACGAAAAGGGTGCTCTGATTGGCTAGGGCTGGATATGGGCTCATTGTTAGTGTGAACATTTTCCCATATTGGCTTAGAGAAGGAGGGGCAACAGAGTCTGTCAGTAGAAAAGCAGAGAATGGCTGGCTGGCTATAACCCAGCTTAGGTTAAGTAACTTTCTTCAAGTCAGGCAGCAGGTAGATGACTGAATCTAGTTTCAAGACAAGGACTGGCTGATCCTTCCTGCTCTTTTCACCCAAGAAGTGGCAGGTAAAGGTTGAGGTATGAGATCCTCATTTAGGAAGGACAGTTGAGCCACCTTCTGAAGTTCCCTTTGGCTCCCGATAGGCGCAGGCAAAAGTGGGAAGTAGGTGAGGTAGATATTTTGTTTTTTAATTTTTTCAGATGCCACCAGGGAGTTATGTTGTTTCAGAGTAGGATGAACCTCTTGTGATTCTTGGGTCTACTTCTGGAAGCTCAGAAGCTAAGATACCAGTTCTTGTCCAGTTCTGGACAGGTGTTGATGAATTGAAAGAACAATCGCCTTTTTTTTTTTTTTTTAAGTGCCTCTGGGTAAAGAAGGGCAGAGGAAGGAATAAGACTCCCCACTCATTCATTCATTCTTTCATTCATCAAACATTTATTGAGCACCTACTCTGCTCCAGGCACCGTGTTAGGCACTGGAGATAACAATGAACCAGGTACACATACTCCTACACTGAGAAGCTTACTGCTTGTTGAGGAGACATTTTACAAATAACCTGTTAATTACCTGATTACATGAGTGCTCCAAAGGTACTAGAAGGGACTGTGGCCCAATCTAGGGAAAAGCTCAGGCCATTCTGATGAAGTGATGATTTTGAGCTCAGACCTGAAAGATAAACATAACTTGTCTAGGCAAAGAATGTCTGGAATGATGTTCCTGGAAGAGGGAACAGCATGATGAAAGGCATAATGATGGAAATAGCAGGGTACATTCCGGGCACCTTAGGAGGCCACAGTGGCTAGAATGTGTTTGCAGCATGGGTCCTTTTGTCCCATGCTGGTGCCTCTCTAGGGTAACAGTCTGCCTCTTCCCTTCCCCAGCTGGGTTTGCTCCCAGTTTCCTGGCTACCGAGGTTTTCAGTATGTGCTGGAGTGTGACCACCACTCGGGAGACTACAAGCATTTCCGGGAGTGGGGCACTCATGCCCAGACCTTCCAGGTGCAGAGTGTCCGCAGGATCCAGCAGTGAGCAGGGGGACCCGAGCTGAGTGGTGAACGTGTGATTGTCTGGAACAGAGATGCCGTGGAGGCTGTTACACGCTCTCTCCTCCGCCTCCCCCTGTAACTCCAAGGGAACGCAGCATCCACGTGAGCCGGTCCATGCATGCACAGTCAGCACGAAAAACTAAAAGTAATAAAAAAGGTCTAGTGTTAGCTTGTGCGCTTCAATTTTATTAATCCTTTCAAAGAACCGCTTTTTAGCTTTGTTGGTTTACTCTGTCATTTGTCTGTGTTTTATTTCACTGACTTTTGCTCTTATTTTCCGTATTTTTTTTTCTTTCTATTTACTTCGGGTTTACTTTATTCTTCATTGTCTAGCTTTTAAAGGTAGATTCCTGGGTCATTAATTTTAGGCTCCCTTTTCCCCCCAGTATAGTCATTTAGTACTATAAATTTCCCTATGAGTACTGCATTAGTCGCTTCTCACATATTATGATTTGTTGTGTTTTCATTATCATTCAGTTTGATATTTTCTAGTTTCCCTTGTGATTTTTTTTTTGACCCAGGAGTTGTTTAAGGGTATTTTTGATTTGTTATATCACTCTACTGTGGTCAGAGAACACACTCGAGATTTCAATATTCTGGAATGAATGGAGACTTATTTTATGGTCCAGAATACGGTCTATTTTTGATAGACTCGAGCATTGTTTAAATTCTGCAGTTGTTGGGTATAGTGTTCTGTAAATGCTGATTAGGTGAAGGTGGTTGACAATTTTGTTAGATATTTCTATGTCCTTCCTGATTTTTTTAATTAATTACTGAGAGAGGTCTGTTCATATCTCTTACTATGATTTAGATGTATCTGTTTCTCTCTTTAGTTTTGTCCATTTTTGCTTCCCATTTTTTTTTCAGGAATTTGATACCCTGTTATTTGATGCACATATATTTATGATTACTGTCTTCCTGATAAACTGTTTCTAGCTTTTTCTTTCTTTTTTTTTTTTAAAGCCATGTGTGGAGGGACCCAGTTCTCTCCCCTAGCAAAACTTCTATTTCTTTTCTCTTTCTCCAATTCTCCCTCACACGCACTATCCTGGGGTCTCTCACTTAACATCATCCACCCTCCAAAGAAAGAGTCTTGAAAACAAAGAAATAAATTTCCATTTCAGTTGCCGCCTGAATGGCAAGATCATATTCATTTTCTCTCCCTTCCACCTCTCCCCGCCAACCCCCACCCACTGAGCTCCTTACTCTCTCCTGGTTCTTTATTATATAGATTGTCTGAATCATAAGCCGTCCAGCTTTTGTTCCAGACTATCTTCCTCTGCCATAAATAAGTCTCATAGAGACAGGAAAGGGCGGGGTTCTGAACAGCATGCTGGAAAAGATAACATTATCTGGCTTAGGAAAGGGGAGGAAGTGTTTCGGAACATTCGCACTTTAGTAACATTTAACCCCTCATTATTACCATCCCATTCATTCAAATGATCATCTGCCTGGGGCCTACTGTGCACCAGGCCCTGGGAAATGGTGAGCAAGATACATAAAGCTCTTTCTCTTACCCTGCTGGGTGGGGAAGGCAGACAAGTCTATAGTGGATTGCAGTATCCTATGATAGGAGCTGTATGGGGTGGTGGTGGGGAAATATGGGAGTTGTAGGGCTGGGAGAGATAAGAATGGGCCTGGGACGGATGATAGGAGAGGCGGTAAGGCCGATTCTCACTGGTGCTTATCTCCACTCAGACCTATCCTCTGAACTCCGTTTCTGGACAACAAACTTCTTACTCAACAAATGCACATCTCAAACAGAATTCACTCAAAACTAAAAGTATACTTTTCCAGCTGTTCAGGCCAAATTTGAAGAACATAACTCTCCTCTTTCTCTCACATACCACATTCCAATTCACTGGCAAATCCTGCTGGCCACACCTTCAAAAATGTACCAGAATCCAATGGCTGTCACCATCCCCGTTGTTGCCACAGTGGTCCATGCCATCTCCTCTCTCTGCTTCCCTCTTTGCACATGAACAATCTGTTCTCTGGTGGTCCTGTTAAAAATGTAAAGTGGATCTTGTCACTCTACTGCTCAAAAACCTTCCCATGCTTCCCATCTCTCTCCCAGAAACAAAACAATATTTTTTCTAGTCCTATGAGGCCGGCCATCATTTGCCTTCCTCACGGCCTCTCTGTCCTCATAGCCCTGTAGCGACTCTTCCTTAAACATGCCAGGTGTTTTCCTGTGTTTTCTAAAACAATATAGCTTACTGGGTATTTTGATAGCCTTCCATTGCCACCCCAAACCCCTTACCTTAGGCATGTCTTTCTCATAATAACAATGATGATGGTAATATTGACGATACATTTTGTGTTGGTCCCTTTCGTGAGGAATCTAATTTATCCCTCCTTGACGTTATTATTATCCTTTTAAAACCTATCAGGAACCTGAGGCTCAAAGAGGTCAAGCAATTTGTCTGAGGCCACCCACCTTTAAGAGCGTTGAACTCACTATGGGTTGTATAAGGTTTTAGGGGAGCATTAAAGAGATAATGGGCAAAAAATGGTATTTATAAACAGTAAGTTGCTAGGTTCACATCCTCCTTTAAAAGAGTTAAGAAAGTAGCCCCTCATATTTTAGTATGAACAACTGGGGAGCTTTCCAACTATCATAGGAAAGCCTTGGATCCCTGGGGACAAAACAGGCAATATTTGCTGAATGGATGAATGAACGAATGAATGAATGAATAAGGGAGTATCATTGGAATTTGATGGTGGCCCTTTTAAAAGCCAGCCCCGGTTGGAGCCAAGACTGAGCCTGGCAACCATAAAAAATGGGACCCCAGATGTGAGATGATGGCTAGAGTGATAGGAAATAAAGAGACAATTTGTCAGGGATGATTGTGGGAGGGGAGGAAAGTGAGCATGAAATTATTTTTTCTATCTTGCCAGGAGACCAATTTTCCTAGGTTACAAAGGAAAGGGAACTTGAATTATTGATGGTATTTGTTCAGAAGTAAGTGGTAAGCACAGAACACCCATCATCTAGAACGCTGCACTCAGCCAACTGAACTGACTACAGGGTCCAGGGCCGCAGATCCCAAACCAGTGTCCTCTTGGCCCAGAGAGGGGAAGGGACTTGTCCAAGACCACACAGCAAACACAATCCATGTTGCTGCTCCTTCTAGCCTCGTCACCCAGCTACTCACACTCAGAGGGGGTGGCACGGCACAGAGAGTGACAACACATTTGAAATTGCACACACCTGGGTCTGAATCCTGGCTCCTGAGTTTTCCAAACAGGGTGAGCTTTGGGGGGGCCACTTTGCCTCCCCGAGCCTCAGTTTCCTCACTTCTTAAAGAGGCGGGCCATCGTGAGGGTGAAGGAAATGGATACCTGAAAAGAGGCTGTGAAAAATAAGATGCAACATCATAGAAGGGTTCTCTTCCTCACTTGTTCCCTCTCTGTTCCCCTCTGCCTGTTCTGTCCAGTTCTTTCTCTTGTCCACATGCTCCTTTCACTACTGCCTCACTGAGTCACTCCCCCCAGGAGCATAGAAGCTGTGACAATGACTTTGGTGGACACAGTCAAATAAAAAGGAAAGAAATCACCTCGACTGAAAGGGAGTGAGAAGTTACTGCACGGAACATCTATTATTACTAACAAGGATGAAAGCGATGATGATTACGGTAACACAGCTCATCACCACAGCCCTTTGTGTAAAGGGAAAAGAAGCAGCATCTATTGAGTGTCTACTCATGCTGGGCACAGGGCCAGGCACTCATCCATCCATTATGTCTGAGCCTGCAGCTGCCCAGGGGCAGACCAGTGCCCATCACCTCGCTGCTGCCTAACAGAGAAATGAGCAAGTGAGGCCACCATCAGGTCCAGGGGTTGGAGGGCAAGTCTTGCACACGCCTGAGCTGCGGGTGGTGAACCCCCACCCAGCCCTACTTCTTGGGGCCACTGTTTACAGTTGCCTTACTTACAAGATTAATGAAGGGGAAATATCTGCCAGGTGGGGAGGCCCTTCCTTTCCTTGCCAGGTGTTCCTAAACCTTCTCTTGATACAAATGTCAGGGAGGCCGTGACAGTTTCCTCCCAGAGGTGGAAATCTGCTGTTTTTACCCTCCAGGGATCTTCAGCAGCTTCTGTGGGGGCGTCCCAGTTTCAGTTTAGAGAACCATCCTCCCTCCTCTCTGAGTCAACACGTTCAGTGGGGTTGACCCTCCCTGATTTTAGAGGCAAGGACATGACCCAGGTCTGGCCAATAACAGTCCCCGTGATTGGACCAGACATGGGCATCTGACTCGCTCTGAGCCAATGAGCATTAGCTCTGGGACTTTGTTTGGAACCATCTGGCAAGAGAAGCTCTGTATGTGTTGGGCTTATGAAGTGATAGGATGTAAACTTGTAACTCGCCATCAAAGGCAACCTGGAGACAAAACCAGGGTAGGGGAAAGCGGGGGCCAGAAACAGAGAGAGTGAATCTAACCATCCTATTATGCAGACACCTGTGCCCTTTTTATCACATGGACCAAAAAACCCTCTCCCGCTTTTTTTGGCTGAAGACTTTCAGGATGGGTTTCTGTCATTTATACTTGAAAAAGTCCTGACTCTTACTTCCCTAAACCCACCTGAGAAAGCAAAGAGCTCTCACCACTTTCCCTCCTGTCCCCAACTAGAGGCCCTGGTGGCTTTTCTTTCTGGGAAGGTAGGCCCTTTTCTGTTTTCTCCCTGTAGCTCAGAAGCACTGGGTCCTTCACCATGTGGCTGTTCTTGGCGTTAGTGACAATGATCATTCTCCATCCCTGTCTCAGTCTCTTCCCGCAACAGGCATTCTTCACCCCTTTGATCAAATGAGAAGGCTGAGGCTGAGAGAGGCAAGTTGATGTGCTCAAGTTGGCACAGAGACCAAAAAACAGAGCTGGAATTTGAACCCAGCACTCCTCTCTGTCCAGGGTTCTTCCTTTTAACCCCCTGTGCGTTATTCTGCTGAGCATGAGACTGACTACTTTGTTGATGTTCAACCAAAAGCTCATCATCAACTTTCTGAGGTTTCTCAGGCCTATTCTGGCTCCTCCCACCATCCAGCTGCTCAGGGGCAATGCACTGCCACCTGGTGGTGACGCACGAAAACACATCCTCCGAGGTGCTGTCAGATCGTTCTGTCCTGGGGTCCTGGAATAGGGAATGCGGTGGATAGGGA